CTACTGATTTGTTTCTATTTTGTCTTCATTTTATCGGCAAGTAATTTCCTCTTTCGCCACACTAATTTCACATTTTAAGTTTTTATTATGAAATTCGGCTATCACTGATCTCATTCCGATATAATATCATAGTTTCTGTCTTGGAAACGTTTATTTTTAGTCCTATTTCTTGGAACATTTAATAGATGATTGACACAGTTTATCAACCTTTTGTGACGAGAAGAGACGAGACAAGACTTCAACAGGACTCCAAACGACTACCTAGAAAATAAATTGACTCCCAGTTCGAGAAAACCAACCGCTTTTATCGACGAAACAATTTTCTCATTGGTCGACCGTTGGAGAGGACAAACAATCTTAGCATATCCGAGATGCATTTATGGCAACAGCTGCCACTGACTTATTTCTATTTTTGTCTTCAGCATATCGTACAGAACACGTTCCCTTTTTGTGGTAAGTGACTTTCTCTAGCTGCACTAGAATCTGCTCGATGTTTGAACTGTCCTTTTTTATTTCTAAGTTTCTTTTCTGTTCCTATTTTCTTTAAAACTTTCTGGTAGATCTTAGGTTCCGATCCTGGTATTTCCAATATCCTTTTGTAGAGCAACTTCTCTGTTGCCTCAAGTCTCCTCTTTATCAGTCTGGAAATTGTCCAGCATTTACTGCCATATAGGAGGATTAATATTATATAAAATTTCAGCACTCGTTTCTTTGTTACGAATGAAATTTCCATCTTCCTTTGTTTAGCTTTTGGAAGACATAGAAACATTATTTGAATTTTGTTAGCCAAACCAATAATTCAAAATAGAAGTTTTCTAAACTGTCTTATCATAATTTATGATGTATATAAAACGGAATAATTAAAATGAATATAATTTGATTTAATTCGGTGAAGTGTCGCAACACACAGTTCAGGGAGTTATGTCCTCGGCAGCAGGGTCGGGAACCGACACTTTGATGCTCGGCAGAACGCACAGCTACTCAGATCCGAGGCAGAAGTCTCGATCTCTATATAAATAATTCTGTCCTTTTATAGTCTAGCTTTTATTAATACACTTATTTGATATTCATTTGTATCCGAATACTGAAACAGAGCACGTTTTTAGTTTGTCATTCCAAACTGGTTATCACCTGATCACATCTAACAGTTCGAATCATTGTTCTGTATCAAATAAAAGAAATGTTGTCGCTTCCTCATTAATTCTGTGTTGACCCTATATAACACTGAAGAATACTGGGACGAAAAGCGTTCCATGTAGAGAGAGGAAATTTGGTCAGTCTTTTGTACGGACACGTGTTCCTGTGATCATACGATTTCACTTTTCAGCTGCATGGACTTCAAGTTAATACCCACGACGTATTTTTGTCCTTGTCTGTAGGAATTTTGTCTTTTTTTTCTGCAATTTTTCTTCAATTTAAATATTTTTTTTATCTACCTTTATATGAGTGTTGATTCTCCTTGTGGAGAAAAGACATAAACGCCAAGACAGTCAGTCAATCATCAAATGGCAAAAAATGGTTTCTGAGTAGAAGGATTCCTTCCGGTTAATTTATCATTTGGATATAAATATTTAACATTTTTCGACCAATAGAACACGTTCCCACCAACAATAAAAAACATACTTCGTGGTTACTTTGAAGAGTATTTAAGTAAATTCTCTAGACGGAAAAGCAGTAAGGAGCAGGAGCGGCAACATACTGCAACAGATTCACGACACCACGGCTTAACAGAGATTCCATTGCTCATTCATCTATCTTCCTCAACGATATACGTGACATTTGCACTCTTCGTCACCAAGCTACGTGACACTTGCACTCTTTCTCACCAAGCTAGGTGACATTTAAACTTTTTCCTATCAAGCTACGTGACACTTATACTTTCCTCCTCATTTTCTCCCTTGCCTCTTTTTTCTCCCACGTACACGCGAAGAAATCACATTTCTTTTAATCTTAACCAACAACTACAAACAAGGAACTTTAACACTCGTATACGCCAAGAAAAATTTAGTGATAAAAACACCTTTTTCTTTGTTGATTCAAATTGATTCAAATCCGTAACAACCTCACACTGGTTAATTAAATTAAAGAAATTATTAAACTGCGAAGTAGGGTTTTTGGCAAAATATTAAAAAAAAAATCAGTTTATTCAAATTTCATCGATTGATTTGCGAAATTGAATGAAGTGTATAATTTGTAAATCTCTACAAAAAATGTTAGCGATGACTTCAATTATAGTAAATACTGTGAGGATTTTAGCAATTCTCGTATTTAAAAAATATATGTGAAAATACAGTAGTAAGGACTTAAAATATGGTGTCGAAAATGACGTGTGGATTTTAATATACTTTTACTTGTATTAATATAAGATTCTACTGGACATAAAGTGCTGGATAAGATTTCAGTTGTTAGTAAGTAAATTGCTCTCTTCTGTACGGTTACTTATTAATATGATACTAAGAAAAATATATTTAAAGACTCACAAGGGAAAATGCTTCTAATAATTGTGAGACCATAACAAAATATGACGCCATTTTTTGGAAGGAAGCTAATATAAGTGTAGGTATGCAGAAGGCGGTTATCTCTCTTTTTACAGGACGAATTTACTTGCGTCTTTAGGGACTCAAAACGTGACGACGGCTTGGGCTGACGATATTTTCTGATTAGATCCTGCGGGAGACAGATTGCCAGCCAGCGGCGGTTAGGGCAACAAGCTGCTCAATCTTCACTTTCCAGCCTTGATTTCAAAAAGCATCTCCGATTCCTTGTTGGAAAAGAATTATTTTCCACCTTCCAACCTCTCTCTCTCTCACACACACAGGCGGGATGTGGCGAGTCTCTCACCGCTCTATCGTTATTTCCATGGAAAGTGTTCGGACGAACTACATTCCTTGGTTCCGTCAGGTTTAACCTTCACGGCTAGGACCCGCCATGCAACTTACATAGTAGCACGCCACCCACATTCCCTTCGTATTCTATGAGTGAGAAGTAAGTCCCACTCGAACAGCTTCTTCCCTTGAACGACTGTTCTGTGGAACGGTCTCCAAAGAAGATGTTTCCCCGATCACTACAATCTTAACCTGTTCAATTCGAGAATTAACCGTCATTTTCCTACACTATCCGTATAAACTACCTCTTATCGTAACACTTTACCTCGAGTGGCCCCCGGCCTTGTACAGAGTGAACCTTACTGTAAAAAAAGAGCAGAACCCATGTATTCTAAATAAAGAACGTAACATAATATTATATGTACTAACCGAGTCTCTCTTAGAAACATTACAAGTCAGATCTTTATATTCGTCCTTTCACATATACTGCTTGCTTTTTCCTATATTCGTTTTCATTTTCTCTGTGGGAAACAAAATGTGATAACTGTAGATATATTTGTTTATGACATTATGCGTAACATATTTATATATTCTAGTGTTGTATATAAAATGTTTTCAGCCACAACCCATTTTTGGAATTACTTTCTTTGAGTTATTCGAATCCTTTCAAAATGTCACGGTGGAGTAATGGATAGCGGCTCGGATTGAGGAATCGGAGGGCCGAGTTCGAATTCTAGTCGAATCCATTACACTCACTTACGTGCTTATAACATTGGGTATGAATCCTCTTCTTCTCACCCACACATCTATGGGTAAATAGCGAGACAGACCGGGTTCTGGTCTACCGCAGAAAGAAATGGCAACCTACTGCGGGAAAAAAATCTGCCTCGTCGAAAGATACATGATCGCCTAAGCGTGTATCACGCATGGCACATGACTGACTGACTTATATACAGGGTACGATGGATAAATTGTCGTCTAAATGACACAATAAGTAAAATAACACTGACATCTCATTTTAGCAGATATACAGGGTGCGATGGATAAATTGCAGTCTGAATGACGTAAAAATGAGATCACATTTTAACAGATATATATTACCAAAATTACACAAAAATATCTTGAAATACTAAAAAGTAAATTTATTCAATCAAATCGCCATTAGCTTCAACCACGGTCCCCAGACGACTTTGGAATCTCCTGTAACTCTTCTGGACGGTCTCCTTGCTTAAGTTGTTGAATGCTGCCATAATCCTTGACTTCAGTTCTTCTTTGGCGTTACAAGGAGTTTTGTTCGTCTCTCGCTCATCTGCGTCCCACACATAACAATTGCAGTTTGTGGAGTTAGGTGGTCAGAGGTAAGGGGGTGACCCAGGGCAGCACTACCTCCTCAAAGCACTTGATGCAGGCTTCCGTGTTGAGGTCCTGTGGGAAGATCAATGGAATGCATAACATCGCCATCACTAGTGATCACTCCAAACACCTTTGTAATCACTATTAGACTCATCTAACTCTTTCCAAATTCTCTACACTTTCCTCAGATTGGCACCCAAACACTATTATATGTTCGTATCGGAGCTTCCGTCGCGAATGTCAAGCAGTACAGCATGCCGTTTCTAAATTTCTGGTGTTGTCAATTACGTCATGGCTCTCTTTTACGCACAGATGGTGCCCAACTGACCCTACTATACTGTGCAGCCGAGAAAATCGAAAACAACGCGCATGCGCGAAATTAAAAAAAAAAGAAAAGAAAAGAGTGAATTGACGACAATTTATCCATCGCATTCTGTATTTACCGTAATTCAAAATGTATATAAAAAGGAAGAACTAAAATGATTGAAATTTGGTTTAATTTGGCGACATCTAAAGTCTCGCGAAACACAGTTTGGGAAGTTTTTTTGTTTTTTTTTTCCATTTCCACCAGTTCAGGACTTTACATCTAGAACATTCCATAGAACTTCCACGGAGTCAAAGCACTCTCATTTCCTCGTATTCCCAATGTAAGGAGGAAGTTTATTTCAGACAAATTTTGTTTTTCAAGAACTGCTACTTTGTAGAACAGACTCCCAAGTGCATACTTTTCTGAACACTACAATGTTAACCTCTTCATCTCAAGAGTCAACCGTTATCTATCCTCCTTATCCTCGTAATGTTCAATTTATAACACCTCATGGCTTACGACCATATCACGTTGAAACACCGGTTTTCGTACGATCACCGAAGTGAAGCAACGTCGAGCCCGGTCAGTACTTAGATTGGCGACCGCTTAGGAATACCAGGTGCTGTAAGCTTGGATGTGTGGATGGTGGTAATGGATAACAACTAGGAATTGTTAATCGGGGAGCCGAGTTCCAACTCCTGTCGGGTTTGTTATATTCACTTCCCCCGCAAATACCCCTGGTGAATATACGACTCCACCTCTTCCCTCCCACCTGTGGGTTAATTAGCATAACTTGTATAAGTAAAAAATCATTATTATTTCTAAAAGTATTCTTACAAACTAAATATATTTCCTTGCTTTGGGCACCTCGACGTGGTGTAATGGTTAGAAAGATTTACTTTCTAGATCAGATACGATTGAGTAGTGAGTTCTATCCTCACTGGGTACCCCATACTTTCGGCCTTGTGCCACATCTAAGCTGCGCTTAGAAAATCACTATATTTCCTTGCTTTAAATAACCTGCAAATGGTTGATAAGCCGTAAAAAAACATTCATATCACACCTTATTCAGCATCACACTTTTAGCAATAACCTTAACCCTTGAGTGACTCATGTCGTATTTTCAGTAATAGTTCCAGGACTGAATACGTAACAGTTTTCGAATAGCCCACAGTGCCAATAAAAATCAACATCGCTAACGAACACTTGCCATTAAGGTGATTAAAGAAAGAACACATATCTCTATTTACAAGTATGAGACCTTCGTCAAAATCGGGAGCGAATTCTTTGCTTGTACGAGAAAGTTACATGCGAAATCCGATAGCAAAAATATGATACTTGATAGTCGGATGTATGTGCATCGACGCACTCAAAAAGGAAGGAAGAAGAGAGAGAGAGAGCGGTTATGTCGACATATTTATTTGGGTTTCATCTGATCTGAAGGAAGGAAGTCTGTGAATAGCGTGCTTGAAAACTGCAATGCTATCTTTAAGGAACTGTACATAGATCTATCTATCTATCTATCTATCTATCTATCTATCTATCTATCTATCATAATCTTTCATTCGCTGTCAGACATCTCACAGATCAGGTAACCAAGTAAATATAACTGCTCTTCATCTATCTATCTATCTATCTATCTATCTATCTATCTATCTATCTATCTATCTATCTATCTATCAGTAACCCGTTGCATCTTAGTGGCTTTATTACCTTGCTTGGAGTGAAATAATTAAAAAAACAAAAACAAAAATACTTAAAAAATTTAGATGCAATGTTAATTGTTAACTTCTGTCTTCTTAATTCTTTTACTATTCTCTCTTCTTAGTGTTTTCTTTTTCACTTATTCTATTACACTCAGTAACCCCCTTGCGTCTTAGTTGCTTTTTATTGCCTTGCTTGCAGGTTGTAATCTTATATATATATATATATATATATATATATATATATAAATATAAAGTGAGCATAAAGTCAACACTTAGATGCAATCGTCTATTTCATGACGATTGCAATCGTCAGGAAACGATTGTCGTATCTAAGTGTTGACTTCAAATGTTCACTTTTATATTTACACACGCCTCTATCTCTGATATTGAGCACTTTATCCCATAAATATAGCACACCTTAAGACTATATTTCTTCATAGATAGATAGATTAATACAAGTAAAAGGTTTGTCACTTAGCTGATTGATTCTACCTTCAGCATCCCGGTTCGTAGACGGATCCTCCGGGAATTACTCCGTCCATTTGTCAGGGGATATCAGCAATTGACTATATATATTAAAGATATTACTGGACATAAAGTGGCTGATCGATTTTCAGTTGATATTAAGTTATAAACTGTTGTTTTAAATAAGACGTCATTTTTTATAGCATGGGTAAACTTGGAAGAAAATGAAGAAAAAAAAATTAAAGGGAAGAGAATTAACGCTGAACACGAAGAAAGATTAATGCTCTAAAACAATAAAAATGAAACCGTTGGCGGGAAAATAGAGGACAAAAAAGAAAGTAAAATAAATAGAGAGAAATCTACAAAGAGAAAGATAAAGGTTATCAATAAAAGAGAAAGAAGAAAAGTTACAATGAAAAGACAGAAATTGATACCACAACAATCTGGGCCAATCATTTGGTGACTGGCCAAATGAAATAACTGGTTTTCAATGCGTAACAGGTGTACAGCCAAATAAAAAATGGCGGACAAGGCGTTAAAAAGATAAGATAAAAATGGCTTATCATTTGTTACATCACTTTCTAAATTTGTACATAAATTCTTATATGTTTTTATCTATCTATCATATTTGATGGCATATGAGACGCGCCCCAGTTTCAGCAGGGCAGATCAATAAAAAGTTAGTTATTAGTAAAATTATTAGTAAATGGTACAGCCTAGGCTCTATTTATGAGGTATTATTTTGGTTAAACATGCCATGATTACAATTAAACGAAAAATAATAGGAAAAAAGATAACGAGCCTATAAAAACTTTATTGTATCCAAAGATAAGAAAACAAAATAAAAATCAATTATTACAATTGAGCAAAACAGTACAGTTATCATTAAAATTTTATTCATCTTCAAATCCATGAAATTCGTCTTCATTATCAAAACTCTGATACTCATTTTCAGTACTACTATCATGGAATAATTAGGATATAAAATTCTGGTTTTATTTATACCAATATAACAGGAAGTTATCGCAAGAAAAATATTAATGAAACAAATATATTTTACAAATATGTAATTTGAATTTATTGCATATAATTTTAGCGAAACAAAGTACTAATATTAAACGTGATGAAATTAATATAATGAATATTATCAATGATAACACTTTTAATCTGCATAATAGCCTTTTAAATAATGACAATAAGTATATGAAAGTTACTCTAAAGTCTAAGCTAATAGGAGTTGCCAGGTAGCTAATTTCGGCCGACTATCGCGAATTTTAAACCTACATGTGGCCTATAAGATGCAAGGTAATTTTATTACATTTATTATATATAGTTTATTATTTTTATTATATATATTTATTTTATTTACAAAGGTTAACCGAATATAAGCATAATGTGCCTTTTCATTTCGTGTGTCAGACCGGAAGCACCCATGTTAACATGTCTGCTCTGAACACGTCTGATAGAGAAATAGTACCAAGTGAAGAATATTTTGTTACAATAATCTTCTAAATTGACAGGGCGTGTCCTCGTAGGAAAAAATAGCATTCAACATTTTTTTTGCCTGGGTCAGACAACTGGTTTTCTGTCTGTAAAGCAGAGGTAGTCTACCTTTCATATTCCTTGCTTCGGTTTTTCTACACAAGTTCAGATACAACATACATATCTTGTACTTCTATTGATTCTTGTAAAAACATTTTATATTTATATTCTGAAGCCCTCTTCCCTGGTAATCAGGTTGTAACAAGAGAGCTAGGAAAGAAAGATTTATTCTCTCATTTACGATTTTCCTGTTACGGGCATTATTATATCCACGATGTAATACCACCGTAGTTCGCCGACAGGACGGAACGGAATGACTGAAAGGGAAAAAAAAAGAATGATAAACGTTCTTTGCTCTCGAAGAGACTTTTATAATACTAAGACATACACAAAACTATATATATATATATATATATATATATATATATATATATATATATCATTTTCATGTTTCTCTCTCTCTCTTTCTCTCTCTCTCTCTATATATATATATATATATAATCTCTCTCGCTGTTTTTGTGTTCTCTCTCTCTCTCTCTCTCTCTCTCTCTCTCTCTCTATATATATATATATATATATATATATATATATATATTTGCCACATGGAGAACTATATACCACATATATCTACACAGCAAAGCAAAGTATTAGGAGGAACAAAAAGGAAAGGTCTTACTCCTGACCTGGAGACGCTATTTTTAGGACTCCAGATTTAAACGGCCGGATTTATCTATGTCCCAAAGAGAAACGGCACCATGTACATGTAAGCTGTTGGAGTAGGCAGATTTAACCGCAGCCTGGGCCAAAGGACCCAAGCTAGAAGTAAACAACCTCCCTGATTGGTTGCTCTTCACGAACTGAAAAATGGCTACCGTTTTGGTCACTGTATAGAGTAACGTCACGAAGCGGCCGTGATGTGACTTATCTACACCAAAGGGAGATAATTAGATTCTTTATCCCGACAAGGCACAGATATTTGATTTGTCTAACTACTTTTAATTTCCTGACCATTGACTTTTATCTTGATTGAAAACCCTTTCTCATTGTTCATCATGAAAAACTTGTTGCATAATGTATTTTTGTATTTGTTTTCTCTGTTCTTTAAAATACTTTGTTATTGTTTTTTGAAGTGATATTTATTGCGTGTTTTATTCATAATTACATTTGTCTTATTCTTGCAGGTCGAAAAAAAGCATCAGCAATAAATAAGAAGCAAAGTAAAGAAAGAAACATTGAACATTACATGATGGACAGTGAGAACATCTCCATGGCTTACAAAGAAATGTGACTGACTTCTAACGTTTAAAAAATATATATATGTTATATTAAAATCTCCTTCTAAGAGATTTAGCATAACAATTATTTATTTTGTATTATAGTTTAATCAAACAAACGCTGTTATTATTGGTTGAATAAAAAAGTGAACATTAATTGTAACAATGGCAGAGAAAATAAAACTCAGTTTAATACTCCTTATTCTAATATAAGAACAATCTAGTTCAGTATGGTCTGATTTGATTGGCTAAATCTTTTCATCCAATCATTTTAGAGCAAGTTCCTGTCTTGCTTTTTCTACCTGAAGTTGCTTTAAGATATTTGTAAATAAACATTGATTTATTTTACTATATTGTCTGTTATTGTTTTTTTTTCTATTTGAATGACTGAAAATGAGAAAGGGTGAATCTCTTTGAATAATGAATTCCATTTCATATATGATATCTTCCCTGTACCATATCCCTTCAGGGCATAGGCAATCATAACACTCCATAATTTCCTATTCTTTGCAGCTTTTAATAATTTTATATCCCCTAAACCTTGCTCCGTCATTCGTTTACTCTGTTAGGTTATGCATCGTTTTCTTCTGTGAATATTAGATTTTCCATGTCCTCTTTCCTCATATTCTCAAGAAATTTCAACGGATTCTTCCTGATGTTCTTCCTGTTTTCTTTTTTGAAACTTGGGTATTTTTATGTTACCTTAGTTTATTCATATACGAAGTTGAATCAATAAGTCCATGACGACATTTATTTTAACTTGAAATTTTCACTACTTCTTGTTCGATCGATTTTATTAATTTTCACCACTGAATTAAGAGATTTGAATTGTTTTTACTGGCAGCTAGTGAGTGTCAAAATCAATACGTATTAGTAATACTTAACCAGACTAGCCTCACTAATCGTTACACCACACTGAGGTACCTGGAAATTATTTAATTATAAAATATATTGTAAGTTATTTTATTATAAAATGCATTAGAAGTTTTTTTTAATCATTTCACTGCAAGCAAAGCGACTAAGACGCAGAATGTTACTGAGGATGAAAATACGTTAGAAAAGGATTTTACTATGAGAATGCATTGGAAATGATTTTATTATAAAAATGCATTGGAAATAATTTTATTATAAAAATGCATTGGAAATGATTTTACTATGAAAATGCAGTGGAAATAATTTTACTATGAAAATGCATTGGAAAGGGATTTTAGTATGAAAATGCATTAGAAAGGGATTTTACTATGAAAATGCATTAGAAAGGGATTTTACTATGAAAATGCATTAGAAAGGGATTTTACTATGAAAAAATATAGCACTGGAAAGTGATTTTTGTTGGGTTTGTTAATTTTGTGAAATGTCAGCCCTTTATGGGTTATTTAATGGTAACTCTTGTATCCAGTGAGGATCAAAGTTTCGAATCACTCGTAATAGTCAACCAAACTACTTTCACTTAACTCTACTTCTATAAAAGTAGAAATTCAGCGGCGGACGTTTCCAGTTACAAGTCAGCTGTTACAATTGACCCAAAAGAAACAAGCGATGACTGTGATAGCGCAGCAACATCCATAACTTCCTTTTCTTGCAAACATTTTACTTTTGATCGTTCGGTTTGCTCTATTTTCTTTCTCTTTTTAATTAAATGTAAGTTACGAAACTTTGTACAAGTTAAAACTTCTTACATTCAATTTAGCTCCACTTAGGAATCCTCAGTTCGTATCAGAAGTTTTGTAACCGATTCTTAGGTTTCAATTTCAATTTAGCCTTTTTGCACTCTCAATGTGTTCCTAACCTTTTAAATTACTACGCTACTTAGCTTTAAGTCGTAAAACGTCAATTATTATAAAATGAAATAAAACAATTATATAAAAGGGTAGTAAATGCTCATCCCTGAGCATCTCTTGTAAACATCCGTTCTCCCGAAGGGTCCCTTAATCCTCACCGTTGAGCGAGATTATCTGGGTGCCTGGGCTCCCTGCCTTGATTACTGGGTATACAACATGTGTTCACTGGAAGAAGTATATTTGGATTTTCTTTCCTGGATTGTTTTTCCATTAAGGGTGCTAGAAATAAACGTTTTCTGGGCTGGCTTTATCCGCTTGATAGTTAGGAATCCGAAACTTCTAAAGAGGCTATCATATAAACAAGTGTAAAATATCGGGGTCTGCTATATTGCCATTTTGGAACAGGATCCGGACCGTGTATAGCTTATGGTCACATTACGTTAAAACACCTTTTCACGTACGATCACCGAAGTTTAGCAACGTCGAGCCTGATCAGTACCTTGATGGGTGACCGTTTGGGAATACCAGATGCCTTAAGCTTGGATGTGCTTATGGTGTAATGGATAATGGCTCGGAATTGTTAATCGGAGAGCTGAGTTTCAATTCCCATTGAGTTTGTTATACTCACTTACGCGCAAATACCACTGGAAAAGGCATGAATCCACCACTTCTATGTTAATTAGTAAGACTTGTATCACTAAAGGATTGTTATCTAAAAAAAAAATGTTACAACCTAAAAATGTTTTCTGGCTTTAAATAACCTGCAAATGGTTGATAAGCCGTAGAAAATGAACTAATCAATCAATGTGAACCGTGTAGTAGTTTTCGGTGTTGCTTCTCGATGCCATGATGAAGTATACCATTTCGACTGTATTTTTTGAAATCCATATTACATGTTCTTACATATACTACTGGGGGTGGAAGTTGCTGATGTCTACCTCGATTCTTCACCTTTTAACATACGAAACCATGTCCGCAGCTAAATCAAACATTAAAAAGAAACCCAGTTCTGCAAAACAAACGAGGTTCTGACACTCCCACCCCCTCGCAAAAAAAAAAAAAAAAAAAAAAACTTGCGTAGAGCTTTTCTTCAGTTTCCGAGCGACCTGAGGGAGCCAAGGCCATTGTCAAGATGTAATTTTTTTTCAGTGTAACTTACTCTTAGCTGAACTGTATTTCAGGGATGAAAAATTCCGACTGCCCTGTTGTTGGTCCCCAGTTGGGTCCAGCGGGAAGGAGTAATTTCTGATCTTACTTATAGGAAAAGATGGATTCATGCCTTTCCTAAAGGATATAAGAGTACAAACTGACCCAGCCGGAAACTGAAACCAATTCGTTGCTCTTCCCTTTTCAGAACTGATAGCCGTTACGCCACTCACCAGTGATTAAAATAATAATTAATTATCCTTATTATATATTTTGTTATTCGTACCACCGTGGGTTGAATAAGAGTGTATCTGTGCGAAAGGGAACGCTACGACTTCCACTTGAATTTAAACTCGGGACGTCAATCCTATTTTTCGTGCAGATAACCGTAACACCACCAGACAAATAGAGCCTACGTAAAGTTCAATAATATACGCTTCGAGCGAATAAGGCCTGTAGATCTTTGCCAAGACCAATCTTTTTCGAAAGAAAGAGGCTAATAAAATTTTACAAGTTGAAGTAGATATTTTTTTTTCTTGTCATATTTAATTTTTGAACTTTATATATATATATATATATATATATATATATATATATATATATATACTAGTTTAAAAGATGCCTTACCGGAGTGCTCTTGATTGGGCCTTCGGTTCAACAATGACACTTCATGCATTGAGTACATATTAAATTTTATTAAACTTGAGCAATATTTTTCAAACAATTAACAGATTTTATAAAATATAAATATATTTTATTTTAATATTTTATTAAAAATATAAAATATATAGATTTATTTTTTAAACGTTGATATACTTTGTCTGGAACTTGTGAAACTACATGATAAACAATATTTTTGGTTTTCCCATTCGGGGTCAGTACAAATATCTTGTTTACATTCTCAACTCTTGAACAACCAACATAGAGCTGGCCATGAGAAAAACAGGGTTTTATCAGATGAAGTTCAGTTCTTTCAATGATTGTCCTTGGGACTTATTGTTATGGGACCTTACCCATAATAACATAATGGACTATTCCATACGTAATAAATACTGCGCCTCAAGAGGAAGCGAGAGTTCCGTCTGAAGTCGGGCGACCGGCTGACCGGCTGATCAGTTGAACTCTCTGCTTTCGGGCGGGGAGGAACCCGAACGAGGCTACGTCGAAGGGTGGAGTCTATTTCGGGGAGGTAAACCGACCCTGAACCCGTTTATACGGGTTCAAAGGGCATATTTTTGGCAGATCCCACGGGCTCGGAGATCCCACGTTAAACCGGCCTTGTGGGTGGGGGGGTGACTAAATACCGTTCCGTCTGAAGTCTGGAGTTTAGTCTGAAGTCTGGAGTGAAGTCCGTCAGGAGTCAGTCGAGTCAGAGGCAGTCCGAAACAGAGTCGTGTTCAGACAATTACTACTAAACCTGATTGTTCGTACTAACACTTTTCTATCTCTCTCTTTATATTCCTGTTTGTAATATATCTGTATTATTCCATATCCGTCTTCGAGTTCCTCTTTATTGGTTCTACCTTGGACTATCACCGTGTTACAGGAACCGGACCATAACACTTATTGATTGACATTGCATAGCTAACTCTCACTGGAAACTGAAGTCTTTTGAACTCAAAAGGAAGATCTGCAGCCATTAAGAAGATTCTTGGAATCAAATCTCTTTCCTGGGCCAGTAAGGATCTCTGCTTCCAAGAGATGAGCATCTTTTTGACAATTAACCTTGTTCAATTTACAAAGCTAGGATCCAGATTTCTCAATAGCATAACTGGCACATTTTCTTTTAGTTCCAACTTGTATGATGAAATTCCAGGAGGATTCAATGAGTTCAGGAACTCTGTTGGATAATTCACTGCTTGCTCTTGTTCAACTACAGTGTCAATGGAAAAGTACTTCATGCTTTCTCTTGGAATTCCTTGGAGAAGTTTCCAGTTGATGTTATCCACAGTTTGATATATGACCCTCTCACAAAGCCAGTTTGAATCCATGAAATGGTGTTTAATGTTTGTAAGAACATGGTTAATCAAGTCTTGGATACTTGAGACTGAAACTCCATAACCATTTGGTGCACTACGGGCCATAAGGTCCCCAAACAACCCCCCCGCAGGTTTAAAATTCAAAGATGTCTTTCTCCTAGACCAGTTGCCATCCAAAGCTATAGAACCCCATCTGTCCTAAAATTTACCCATAGCTGGAGAGAGAAGATGATTTCCCAAGGGTATTAGCACGTAAGTGAATGCAATTGATTCAACTGGAATTCGAACTCTGCTCTCCGATTCCTCAATCCGAGCCGCTATCCACTACTCCATCGTGCCTGTATTTGAAGAAATTTGACAAATGGAAAACTGTTTCGTTGAAACTAGATTTCATTTCGCCTTACTAAGCTTCATCAGAACCAAAAACGAAAGAAAGAAAGAAGTGTGTGTGTGTGTGTATGTGCGTGTGCGTGCGTGCGTGTGTGTGTGTGTGTTTAATTAGTAAATTATTAGTAGCTGGTGTTTCTCGTGATGAAAGAAAAGAATGTAAATGAGTGACTTTTAAAAAAGCTGTTATTATTTATTTCATTTTTTCTTCATAGTTCTTAGTTCATGTCGAAAGTTATTAATATATTCTCTCAGCTTTTCTGTATTGAATTTCAGGTAAATCCTCATCTTATTTTCAGAAAGGCCCGAAAGCAAAAGATTCATTTTCAGAATGTGTTGAAAGTAAAAAAAAATCTATATATTTTTAAGTCTGTTCATGTGTTTTCTGTGTCAAAACTTCGTCTGAATTCTATGTCATATTTTAATCACACACACACATATTCTGTTTATACGTTATTTTTATAGATATAACTTATTTAAGTAAATGCTCTGTTTTTTTTTTAATTAAATGGTATTAATTACATTTACCGGTCTGAATGTTCGAGAAATTTCATAGAAAATATGCGCTCTCCGACAGGAATCGAACCTGTATGCCACATGGGAACCGTTATTTGATCTGGCGTTCTGTTAACCATTCAGCCACAGAGAAGCATCTGGTTAACAAAGTCCGAATTACTGTTTATAAACACACATCTTCGATCGATCATATCTGCTCACCAAACGTATCTTAACGTAAACAATGACAACATATGAAGTGGATTAAGTCTAACAATTATTTAATATATTTTTTCTGTTATTTTTATAGATACAATTTATTTAAGTAAATGCTCTGTTTTTTTAACATGAAAATCTGTCGAAAAAATCGCACAGATACAGGTTCAAAGCCCAAAGAAAAAACCCCGACACGAGTAAACAACTAACTAAAAAGAGCTCAATACATCCGTAGAGCAGACCTAGTCAAACCGAGTGAGCCAGACAAACCTACCCAGGTTTCACCTAAGCGGATCGTCAGGGAAAGCTGGCTAAAGAGTCAAAAGAGAAACGGCATATTTATAGGCGACAATCAAAGCTATACCACATGACCAAAGAAAAAAAAAGAATAGAAAAACAAGACAAGAAAAGAAAAAAAAAGAAAAAAACAACACAACACCGGGGTGGGGGTAGGATTTATTCAAACGACTAAAAGGGGAGGGGATATTTTAAGAAAACACGGACAATAAAGGTGGAATAACAATACAATCAGGGGAGATTGGACCTAGTTCAATAACCAAGATTTTCGTATGATTATAATATATTTTTTTTAAATATATCCTGAGTAGCTCCTATACACACTTTAGGGTTTATATCTTCCATATCCTTATAAATTTTCGCCTGGTAAACCACGCATTCCTGTTGATATTTTGCCTGTAGGGGGCAGATATTTTTGTTCCTAAAATTTCAAATAGAAGGACTACTGCGTGGATTATCCCTAGTTTTTTTCTTATTAAATCCACTAATCAAGCTCTTTTTAGTTAGTTGTTTACTCGTGCCGGGTTTTTTTTCTTTGGGCTTTGAACCTGTATCTGTGCGATTATTTCGACAGACTTTCATGTTCCTGGCTCTTTCTTTTTTAAAAACCTTTTTTTCCGTCGAGATTGATTTGATTATTGACAAATCAAAAATTCGAAGGTTTTTCGAGACGAGTACAGTTACCTATATTTATAAAGCTCTAGGTTACTCTACCGAGCACTGTTTTAAATCAACTAATATGGAACGTGTAGACATAGGATATTCACTCAGGAACATACCTATATCTGACCGTCATTCGTAAGAATTGTTTGCTAAGAAAAAATAGAAAAGTTTATCGTAAATATGAGGTGGAGAGCGTACTTTTGCCTAAACAATAACCTAAATAGCAACAAAACCAACGAAAGCTATGGATTTAAAACTAATGCCCCCCACCCCCGCATGTTAAGGAACTTGATAAATTCGAATCGGAACTAATCGGCCTAATCAAAAAATTAAAATATAGGAAGATAAGA